CTAAAATATGCATTAATTTTATACTAATGAAAAATGATTTAAATAGGCTTCAATTAATTGATAATGACAATAGCAAAAATAAGTTAACAGCAAAAGGATGAATATATCGAGAACAGAAAGGCAAGTATCATTTTTTTAAATCCTGTTTGAAAAATAACAAATTGAGGGTCTAGAGAATACAGTAAGTAATTCTATTGTGGTAAGAAATTCAGTAGCAGGGGCACTGTATCAGATTCCATTGCCAAATATGTATGGAGATGATGACTCTAGTAATCTCAACAGAGGTACACTGAGAAAGAATTCTGAAAATCTTCTGAGACTTCAATTCCAGAAGCAGTAAAATTGTTAAAAAATATCAAAGACATATGGTGGAATTAGGATAATCATTCTAAGTTGTTCAGTTGTATCTCTGAAATATATTTCCATTACAGTGACAATGGCTGTGATGAAGACAAGGGGATCAAAATGGACAGAGTCCAGAAACATGGACAGTGCCCTGGACATGGGCAGCTGAGACCCAAGTGCCTCTAGCCTCCTCAAATATCTCTTGTGACTCTGAGTAAATCTTCTCATCTCTGAGTCTTGGTTTCTTTATTTTTTTTTTTTAATTTTTTTTTCAACATTTATTTATTTTTGGGACAGAGAGAGACAGAGCATGAACGGGGGAGGGGCAGAGAGAGAGGGAGACACAGAATCGGAAACAGGCTCCAGGCTCTGAGCCATCAGCCCAGAGCCTGACGCGGGGCTCGAACTCCCGGACCGCGAGATCGTGACCTGGCTGAAGTCGGACGCTTTAACCGACTGCGCCACCCAGGCGCCCCTCTTGGTTTCTTTAAATGCAAGGAGTTGAAGCAAATGCTCCCTATGACTTGTATTATTCTAACATTCTTTGATTCCAAACCTATTTTCATACTTAGTAAGCTGCTAAGACCAGTTAGTCTGCCTTGCAACTTTCAGTGTTGACCAAGCCAATAACAGAGGAGCCTCAAAACCCAACCAAAGAAAGCCAAAAATCCCAACACATTCTGGAAAGGTCTACTGCTACTTCCTTTGATAATCCTCGGAAATCCCACACTCACCCTAAAAAGACTCCATGAAAACCTCTTTTCTCTTTTCCCCATTTCTGAAAACAAAACATATTTGTTAACACCTATAAACAAAACCATCAATGATAGTAATAATGGCTAATGGTTATTTAGCACTCACTCTGTGTTGGGCACTGTGGTGCTTTTGTATTTGCTATCCTTTCCCTCATTTTATATATGAAGAAAGGTCACACAATTAGAAGCAACAGAACATTTATGAGTGATATCTGAAAAGCATAACCATATTCACAGCACAAGTTACTATGTAAACAGTTGAGCAACATAAGTTCACTAGCTTAATTATACTCATGTGTAATAAAAAGAATGAAGACCTTTGGGGGCTAGCAAAATATCAGGTACCAAACAGTAGACTGACTTTATAGCTACAAAATCAGAGATTTTTATGGTCATAGAGCCAGTTAAGACACAAAACTGTAGGTAGAACTGTAATATCTTGGAAGGCTAAAGGCAGAAAGCAAAATTAAAGGTAAAAGTATCCTTAATTTTCTGATTCTGAAGCAACCAAAGCACATTTAGAAAATGTACACTTATTTAACAAGTCATAAGTAGTCCAGATATTCAATCCACAACTCTTCTAACTGTGCAAATATTTGGAAAGTTGTTAAAAATGAAGCTGACTACACACACACAAAATAAACTTGATGTCTGATAGATCTTGAGGCCAAGAATTCTCAAGCATGGTTTTAAAAATGGGTGTAAAAAATGACTGGGAACGTTTGTTCAAAGTGTAGTTTCCTGGTCCCATCCCCAGAGATTCTGGTTTCGTAGGTAAATCTGCATTTTAAAATGCATAACCCAGGGGATTCCAATATAGGTAGTCCATACAAGTCTACCACAACTGTGTACAGGTAGATATAACATGAAGACTTATACCTGGAAGTTAATCTGAGACAATTACAGAGAAAAGGTATATGGGAAGAAAACAGCGGATTATTCTAACCTAATTTATAACTGACCAAATCGTACTTTATCTCCTTTAAGCTTTTCAATGCAGTGAGACAGTATTATAACTTTTACTTCCATTTAAAAATGAGGAAACTGAGGTTCACAGAAGCTAAGTGATTTGTCTGGGATTATAAGCTGCCAGGACTTGAATCTGGGTCTTTCAATTGCAAATTCCATGTTCTTGCATGTTCCCCTTATTTTAAAGACACTTTGGTACAATAAATTGTACCAATAAATTTTGTACAATAAGTTGCTTGTAGTCATCTGATTTTAGCAGATCAGTGGAAATGAATTACTAGTCATATCAGATTTTTAAATACAAATTATACACATTTACATAAATTGTACAAAATTTTTATACAAATATATAAATTTTTATACAATTACATAATGATGAATTTATTGAGTCCATGAGCTTAGAATGCCATGAGTTTCAGAAAGACCACTGCCCTACAAACAGCCCACTAAATAAAGTTCTACAAATGTCTATACTCTCACTACTCAAAGGGCAGTCCCATATACCCACAGGCATCATCTGGGAGTTTATGAGAACTGCAGAATCTTAGACTTCACTTCCTGCCTATGGGATAAGAATTTGTATTTTAAACAAGACTCCCAGGTGTTTTGTATTACATATGATAAGTGCTATCTATCATCTTAGAAAAGTGACTCCATTTTTCTGAATTTCACTTTCTTCAACTGTAAAATGAGAAAGAAGAATTATTTTTTTTAAGTTTCTTTCTTATTTATCTTGAGAAAGAGTGAGAATGAGCAGGAAAGAAGCAGAGAGAGAGACAGAGAGAGAGAGAGAGAGACAGAGAGAGAACATCAAGCAGGCTCCATGCTAACAGCATGGAACCTGATGCAGGGCTAGAACCTACGAACCATGAGATCATGACCTGAGCCAAAATCGAGAGTCAGGTGCTTACCTGACTTAGCCCCCTATGAACCCCTAATTTATCTTTAATATCTCTTCCAGATTACCGGAACAAGAGAATTGGCAAAGTATGGCCAGTAGGCCAAATCCGGCTGGCAAGATAAGGCAGGTTTTTACATTTTTAAATGGTTGAAAAAAATTAAAATAATATTTTGTGACACGTGAAAATTACAATAAATTCAAATGTTAGTGTCTATAATAAATTTTATTAGAACACAACCATACTCATTAATTTACGAATTATCTATGGCAGTTTTCACATTATGATGACAGAGCTGAATAGATGCAGCAGAAATCATATGGCCCTCAAAGCCTTAAATATTGATCAACCAGCCCTTCAGAAACATTTGCTGCCCCTTGCTATGATAATAGCAGCAACTACAACTACCGTTTAAGCACTTAAATGAGCAAAAAACTGTAACAAGAATGTATATTCATATAATTTGAATATATATGCATACCGCTACATATCTGTACAGTTTGTTCAGCTATCTCTTCATTCCCATTTTTTCCATTAAAATTTTTTTTAAAACATTTGACTAATCTCAGTTTTTCAGAATGTTTTTCCTTTGTTGAAGGCAGATATAACCATATAATGATTCTCATGTTGAGGAGTGTGAGGATTGAGGAGATGCTAAGAGACATCTATAATAATCTCTAGCAGAGAAGGGAAGAGAATGTATGGTTTAAATAAAACATACTTACATGAAAGTAATTACTGAAAATTCAACAAAATTCCCTAGGCATGTGGGATTTCAAGGAAAATGACAGAGAGCACAAGAGTTTGCATGGGTTACAAATGATTTTGAGAATATATGAATTCTTCACCTTATTTTCTATTTACTGTTATTAATATCTAAAAGGTCTTGTGTTCTATTTCAGTCAACAGAGACAGAAACATACTTAGTAATTATATCTGAGGGTTCCCAATTGAAAAATTAGGTAATTCCTAACTACTAATCAAAACAATAATCTTAGAAAGTCTGCCACATGAGGTTGGAGTAGAAACTATGATACTAAGATAATGCCAACTCTAAATGACATAAAAGTTAGGGGCTTAGACTTCAAATTTCTCTGACTTCCAATTTAAGGTGGCACTATCATGCATTACACAAATATAAAATGCCTACCAAGAAAAATCTAAATGAGAAAAAATATAATAAACTGTATATTAGCACCATTTAGATTCTGCATTTGAATATAAAACTCAAACATTTCTAGAATTTATGATAAACTCAAATATCTAATTGAAAAGAAACAAGAAATGATTTGAATTTCTAGGTGATATTTTAAGGTTATTCAAGTATGCAGTCAATAATTTTTTAAAAGAAAATTTAAAACAAAATCATCTGCCTTTGCAAGGGACAAAAATCTATATGCATCATGAATTTTAAATTTATAACATTATCATAAAGTAGAACAAGTACTTCTACTTTATTACCAGAAAGAAATAAATGATATTACTAACATTAGTAAACTTTATTACCATAAATCTGTAAAACAGGAGAATAAAGTTCTACTTTATTACTATAAACTAATTTTGGTTTTAGTCACACTTGAGCATAATAGGACAAAAAAAAAGTTGTAGTATACGTTTACTTGTTAGTTTTGCAATTGGCAATTTACCTATATAAACATTTTCCTCAAAAGTAAGATTATTTGAGCATTCAAATTGAAATAAGATGTTTATCAAGTCATGATTTTCAAATAGATTTAATTTCTCTATTACTGAATTATTCTGTCTCTTGAATATTTGTTCTCTATTTACTTAGTTATTAACTGGAAATTAAGTAAAATACAGAATATAAAATTTACCAAACACACACACATACACACACACACACACACGCAAACTTTATTCATAATTAACCATTTGATATAGTTAGTATTCACAGTCATACTATTTCCTTTCATACCATGATGTCACAGAATTTTTTATCCCAGAATCAAAATACTATACTCATTATTTGACACACAATTTGGTAAGATAAATCAAATTATTAAGTTCTTACCAGATCTTGCCCAGCACATCAAACAAAGAAAAATGTATACTCTCATTTGGAATCCAGTAAAAGTAAAAGCAGCTCTGAGATTCAACACAAAAGAAATTCTGAAATTCATTAAGGTTTCTCTTTTGTAAGATTGTCAGAGTCTGGTAGGTTTTATCATAAAAGATCCCTGATCTTTTGCTCCTCCCTCCCTGTTTGTTGAAAAGGTAAGGTAGGGTGGTTTTTTTTTTTTTTTTTTTTTTTTTTTTTTTTTTTTTTTTTTCCCCCTCTCATCTGGCTTGTGGTTGTAAGAGGATTTTTAAGTCAAAACTCTGTAATAAGTCACAAACAGCTGCACAAGTTGAATTGAAGGGAAAGAAAAAGCTAATTATATCTTTCCTTATTCCTCTTAACCTCAGAATTTCAGAATCGGTCAGGAAGAATATGTTTATTGAAAGCCTAGAGCAAATGTGATGTTAGAAAATGCTAGAAATGGAAAAAGTCAGAAAACGTTGTGGTTTATGTTCATTTTGATTACAAACCAAGCTGTCTTCATATACCATAAAATCAATAATAAAATCCATATCCATCAAGCTGTCAGATATAAAATATGACCTTTTCATGTTTATATCATTTTGCAACCCAAATTCAGTGGCTATTTTAAAATTCAAAATGCTAGCTTGTCTCTTGAGTTCTACAATTGGAAAATCAAAAAAACATATTTTTGTTTTTAATATAACAAACATTTTTTAAAAATTATTATAGGTTTCTTTTCGCATGTTTATTTTTCCCCTTATTTTCCTTCCAGTAATAGACTTTAGTAGGTCAGGAAAATAGAGAACCATTTTCAGTACATGCATTATCAGTTCAAAAATTAAATTTGTTTTTTGTAAATTCAAGTTTCTGTAAATTTGCAAAGATACTTTAAGAACAGTATCAGCAGAAACTAATCTGAAGTCTAGGGAAATATTTCAAAGAATCCACAAACAAAATGAGATATTCATTTAAAAACTGTGGAAAATGTAAAAATCATCATTTTCAATTGTTTGATCTCTAGGGGGTTTATGTGAAACTTCATTTTTAGAAGGGGGCCATTATTATAATTTGACTGGAGACCACCAAATAACCTATGTCCTTTAATATCACTTAGCTGTAACAACTGTACTTCTCTAACAAAAATATAAATAAACCACATCTCTTCAAAATGTGGGAAAAAATGTAATGCAATTGTTGTACATGTTAAAAGAGATTATTAACAAGTTTATACTTAAATTAAAAGATAAACCTTTCCTATTTAACATATACTTCTTTTATTTTGTGCTTTTGATGTGACACTGTAATATGAATCTTATACATTATTTTCATCGTTGTCATTCTAAAGAGCTTATATTGAAAATCTCAACTTGGGGGCGCCTGGGTGGCTTGGTCGGTTAAGCGTCCAACTTTGGCTCAGGTCATGATCTAGGGTCCATGAGTTCGAGCCCCACGTCGGCTCTGTGCTGACAGCTCAGAACCTGGAGCCTGTTTCAGATTCTGTGTCTCCCTCTCTCTCTGCCCCTCCCCTGTTCATGCTCTGTCTCTCTCTGTCTCAAAAATAAATAAAAACGTTAAAAAAAAAAATTAAAAAAAAAAAGAAAATTCTCAACTTGGCATTTAAGACAGTACAATACATAGCAGTAACAAAATATAAAAATTATACTGTTTTCATATTTTTTACTTACTGTCAATAGCGATAAAACAGATGAATGTCCATTGCATTAAATAGCATAATACTGAGCAGTAACAAAATATTATATAAAATGTCTATAATTTAGTAAGACAATATTTCTGTGCTTTTCTTAGTCCTCCTGAGAAACAAAAAATTATTTTAAACTTACAGACATGGATACATTATTAATAATACTATAAAGGTGATAATGAGGATGATGAGGATGAAGATATAAAATTGATTGAGCTCTGTGTACCAGGCAGGCTTCCAGGCAGTTTATAGGTAATTATAATAGGTAGCTGAGTAGTGTATATTGAGATGGGGTAGTCATTGTTTATCAGAATATATTTTGGCACAATCTTTTGTATAATTTAGCAATATGTGTCAAAATGCTTAATGGCTATTACCCTTTGATTCAGCAATTAAACATCCAAGATATTTTCCTACATAAATTTTTTACTAACATATGTGCACAAAGGCATATGAGCAAGGATGTTAATATCAGTATTTTTTTAATGGCAAAAAAAATGGAAACAATGTAAACGTCTAATAGTGGGGGATTAGTCTAATTGGATACATACGGTGGATTAAAACTAATGATGTGTATAAATCACTATTTATTGGTAAAGAAAGTCTCCGTTACATAGCACAAGGGGAGAAAAGGTAAGCTACAAAACAGTATGTATGGTAAGGTTTATTTTCCTAAAATGTTTTATGTATATATGTATATGTATATGCACATGTATATTTCAAACTAAGGAAGGTTTTCCTCCAAAATGTTTATGTCTGCATGGTAGACTTATTGATGATTTTTACTTTCTTATTTATTTCTTTAAACATTAAAAATATTTCTTTACAATAAGTATCTAATACAAGTAAAACAAACAAAAAAGCTTGGGACAGATACAGTTAAGAAAATCAGAATAAATAAAAAATGAAGGTAGGAAATAAGTGAAGTCAAAAGTGAGGTCAATTTTAGAAAAAGCATCCACTAACTGGAGTCCCTTAATACTAATTTATCAAGTTTCTCCTTTCATTCATTCATTTATCCAACTTTTACTAAGCATATACTAATTTCCAGGTATAATGTAGTTGTCGAACATACAAAGTAGAGACATTTGTTTATTCAAACTGTACTATATCAACAATTATTTATGATATATCCACAGATATGTCAGGGATTGTCCTAAGTACTGAAATATATTTATTTACCTTATAGCAATTCACAGTGAGGAGGGCTTGAAAAAGGCGTATCTATGAAACTATGGCACCACACAGCAGGACCGCCAGCTAATCTAGAGTGCAGACTTCAGGGAAGACCTTCAGGACATGCTGCCTGGGCTGAACTGCCAAAGAGAGTAAGAGTCAGTTGGGCAAAGAAGGGAAGAAAGAAGCTCTAGTTTTAGATAGATAGGTAAATAGATACACTTATTTATTTATATACATAGCTTATAGTTTTACATATATTATTATATATAAACGTTTTCATTTTTGAATACATAAAGTTAGGGGTACAAAACATCCTGATAGGAGTTAAGAAAGGCTAATTCTTTATAGTGTACCATGCACTTAACACATTGAAACTTATATTTGGCTAATGGTCCAGGAAATGCTGAGAATAAAGTGAATCATATTTGGGGGCACCAGTTGAGTGTCCCACTTTGGCTTATGTCATGAACTCACTTTCTCTCCCTCTCCCACTACCCTCTTCCACTTGCATTCGCGCGCGCTCTCTCTCTCTCTCTCTCTCTCTCCCTCTCTGAAAAAAAAAAAAAATTAAACCAAGCAAAAGCAAAAAGTGAAGTTTTTAAAATCCATTTAGAAGGTGGCTTTTTGAGGCAACTGGGTGGATCAGTTGGTTAAGCAGCTGACTCTTGGTTTTGGCTCAGGTCATGATCTCATGGTTCATGGGTTTGGGCTCTGAGTCAGGCTAGCTGCTGTCAGCAGAGCCCACTTCAGATCCTGGGTCCCCCTTGCTCTCTGCCCCTCCCCCGCGCTCACTCTCTTTCTCTCTCTCAAAAATAAGTAAACATTAAAAATAAGTGAATTATTTTTTAGCTACTGCTAGGTTTATTACTACGTGTTCATTCAACAGAAGCTAGGAAGTACAGTAAGCTTACATTAGAAAAATGACATATATTAAGGTCAAATTCTGAACAGTTAACTGCACGAGCTTTCAAAGCTCATAACATTAATTTTTTTTAATGCTTATATATTTTGACAAAGAGAGAGCACACCCATATAAGCAAGCGGGGGAGGGGCAGAGGGAAAGGGAGAGAGAGAGAGAGAGAGCGAGCAGCCGGAGCCTATGATATGGGGCTCAATCATGACCTGAGCAGAAATCAGGAGTCAGACACTTAACCAACGGAGCCACCCAGGCACCCCAGAGCTTATAACAGTAAAAAAAAAGTACCATAGAAATACAAGCACCATAAACTTAGTCCTGCCAAAAGAAAAGAGGATTGATAAGAACATGAAAATCATACACATTTCTAAAAAAAGAAAAAAAAAAAACTATGATGCAAACCTCAAAACTATGATGCAAACCTCAATATAGCAAGACAACATGATCATTAACTATTTGTAAATATAGCTAAAGTTTTGTATCATTCACAATCATATACATGGGCACTGCAAATTTTACAATGAAACCTGAAGATAACAGCTCCCAGATCAGTGTGACTGAGGGGAAACGAAAAATATGTTCATTTGGATAAGATTTATGAGATAAATGAATTTTAAAAATCAATAGAATTATACATAATAGAAATCTTCGGGTATCCATTCATTTGATCAACACATATTTGTTATATAACTACAATGTGCTAGTTTCTTTAACCCCTTCCTACCCTACCACAATAATGTTGATGGCAGAGGAAAGGAAAAATGGAGACAGGACCTGTATACTTATGATATATCAACAGAAGGTGACTGCTGAAGTTACTGACACATTATGTTGTATTTATTTGTATAGGAAAATATTAAATGAAGTACTGTAATTACATTAGCTCAATGCATTCCTTAAGAAATAGAATTTGAATTCCTAAAAGTGAAATTACTTATATAAAATCATAAAATTAAATAATGTCACAGTTCAATTAGAAATCAGGTTTCCAAAGATGTGTTCCTTTTCATTAGAAAAGAAGGGCATTTTTGTCCACCAACTAAGTAAACGCGTGCAATGCAAAATGAATTATCACCACTCCTAACTAAAGGCCAAATGATGTCCTGATTACTTGTTTATTTACAGGATAATTTCAGGGTCTTTTGGAGACATGGATTCTTCAAAAGGAAACCAAGTTAATAGCTGTCAGTTGATTTATTAATCTATTGACATTCTGAGTAGGTTTTCTTCCCCCTTTAATTACCTTTCTTCTTCTTCTTCTTTTTTTTTTTTTTTTTTTTTTTTTTTTTTTTTTTTTTTTTTTTTTTTTTTTTTTTTTTTTTTTTTTTTTTTCCTAACCCTCCTCAAAAAAGAATGAATTCTTCACCCTGGTCACTGTATACAAACATTGGATCCCGCTACAAGCGCCCTGCAGCCATCCTCAAGAATTCTGGCTTCAGTCACAAAACCTGCTATACTCTTTCTAGTGTTCCTAGGTATAGGATGTTTTCTCATGCCTTCTGGCCTGAGAAATGTCTTCTGGAGTCCACCTAAAACGTCTATGCCCATTTTCAAAGACTTCTCTAGGGTGCGCTTCCTAGGTAAATAAACTTTAATTCTAGCACTCCATTGTATTCCACACCCATTGACATGCATGCATGGATTTATTCTTTCAAAAAGTATTTTGTACGGAATATACATTCAAAATCCTAGTGATTTATACATTTACTCTTTGGAAACAAATCTTAGCCCCATTAGCCTAGGAGCGACTGTACAGCAGGTAGTACGTCTTAAAAGCCTCTCTACACACATTTTATTGAAAATTTTTATTGAATAAATCCGAAGTCAATTAATAACGGTGTGCCCAAGAAAATGGAGGGTACTCCACAAGCAAGAGGGGCAAGCCCCGAACACAGTAATCTTTTTTATTCTCACTCACACCCCCTCGGTCCCGGCCGGAACCAGGGCGTTGGAGCGGCATGGTGGGCGGCCCCGCGGGGCGCCGGGGGGCGTAGCCCCTACCTCGCTCCGCCCCTGGCGCGCGCGCTCCCGTCGTCCGTCCGACTCTCCTAGTCCGAGCGGCGCAGTAACACGGCGAGAGGGGGCGGGGTCTGGGTGCCTCCTCTATCCTCGGCCCGAGACCGGAGGGATGTTCCCTGCTCAGGAGGAGGCCGACAGGACGGTGTTTGTGGGGAATTTAGAGGCCCGAGTACGGGAAGAGATTCTTTACGAGCTGTTCCTTCAGGTACCGTCTGCGGGGGGCGGCGGAGGGGCGGGGAGCGTCAAGCCGGAAGCGCAGCCCGAGGGGCGGGGCACACCTGGACCACCCGGTGCCCGGCCCCCTTCCCGCCCCATCCTGTGCCTAGGTTTACAGTTCAGTTCCGTTTGGGCGCACCTGTCCCTACGTGAGCAGCTGGTATTGAAGTGCTATAATGTGCGTCCTATCACCGTCCCCACTGTAGAGTTCTGCGGGTAGGGGGTGACTTGGCTCTCCCCAGCGCCCAGCCCTGAGTGAGGGCTTCCCAGAAACTGCCTGGGCCTTGAGTATCTTGGGCAAACAGAAAACAGCCCTGTCACTGCCTTCCTTCAGGCAATAAGCACCCTCACGCCTTACATCCAGCGAAATGAGAGGTACAGATTTTAAAATGTTGCCCTATACATTACTTATGCCCCCAAGCCCTTTTATATGGAGGGTATTTTTACTCCAGTATAGTAAATGAAATTTAGTGATTTGGCAGCCGCATCATAGCTGACCAATTGATTCCTTGGGAAGCTCCCTGTATTTCATCCAAGAGGACCTTCTGGAAACTTTTTGAGACCTAGGACTTCCATGAGTAAGCCTCCTCTGTCTCCTCTAAACACTCACCTATTATATACACGTAGGTGTCACTTGCTAAAGAGATATCTTCATCCAGCCATTTATCTAACTGTTTAATGGTACAGAAGTTACATGGCAAACACAAAGTAAGATGCTGAGCATACAAATTTAAGAGATACGCCTTGGTTTTTCTAAAAGGGAAAATTTTTAATTAAATTTTTGATTTAAGATAATCTACAAAAGAGGGGGGTAGGTAATATAGCGTAGTTGTTTAACTCTGATGTCAGCAAAGTGACACTGGGCAAGTAAATGAATATCTCAGTACTTCAGTCTCCTTAAATGTCAAATGGCAGTAATAGCATCTACAGTATGATGTGGTGTGAAGGTTAAATAAATTAATCCAGGTAAAACAGTTAGAATTGAGTCTGGCACTTTTAAGCGTTTGCTGCTGCAAACTACTGCTACTACTGATAGTATTACTATTACTACTAACATCAAGAGAAATCAAGAAAGAATGACTTCTCTCTGTCCTAATAAGGGCAAGTTCCAAGGGAGACTATAGCAAAACTAAATTTCTAGGACTAAGTATGAGTACCGGTGGTGAAAAGGGTTCTTGATACAGTTTCTGAAAAGCCCTAACTTTGTGTCTGTCTACTGCTAATTATAGATATACACAATTTGGTAGAGAGAATTCCCTCCCCACCCCAGGAACATAAAACTTGTTATTATTTGAAAAATATTGTTGATTTTAAGACTTTTATGCTTATTCTAGTATGCCCTCTTAAAAACATACTTAAGTTTAAAAAGTTTAAAAAACTGGCCTTTTTAAATCTGTTCTGATAGTTTCCTATAGTTATTTCCCCAAATATCATTTGAAACTTATGACTCTAACTAAAAGAAAAAAAAAATTTAAGA